TGAATGGGTAGATATATGGTAGGGCCCCAGCATCTGTGTATCTAACAAGTTCCCAGAGGATGCTGATGCTGCCAGTCTGAAAACTATACACTTTGAGAACCCAACCCATACACAAACACATAGTCCTACCAAGGATCGCGAATAAAAAACTCACATGATTCTTCCTGTGATGACTGTATGCAGTGGAGGTGGGCATTACTTTATTCTTTCCTGCATGAATTCATTAAGGATCCACCAGGTCTTGTACTAGATTTGAGGACAGAGTTGAATTTAAAAGCCCAGGCTCCTGCCTTCATGGAATTTACAGTCCACACGGTTGACAGACATCTGTCAAATAATCACTCCAAACGGTCATTTCAAATAGGCAGAGTGCTGGAGGGAAATGCACAAGGTGTGAATAGAGTGTACAGCGGGACCCTCATGCAGACTCAGAATGAGGTTGTTATGAATGGACAGGAGGGGGGCTGCCTTGTGGAGAGGATTTCTGACTTTTGCACTCCAATAACCTCTCCAATGAACAATTATTTCCCTCAGACCCACCTGGAGGCCAACAATCATGTCCCTCCTTCCTACAACATGAAAACAATATTGTCACAGAGAAATCCCTATAAATTCATGTAAGTGTTCATTCTTGGGACTGAGTCTCTGCACCCCAACCAAGATCCACCTAACATGCCCGTAGACCAAGAACAGTCGAGGGCCACAGTAGCCCTCTTGGGGAAAATACAGGCTCTGTGAACTGGAAAGCCTTGTGGTTCCCAGTCCGTGATCTTCAAGGGCAGAGAAGCGAGGAAACCAGCCCAAGACCACCACTCCGGTCAGGAGCGGAGATCGACCAGCCTCCAACCTTGCAGGCCGGTCCTCTTTCCAAAGCACACTATTCCCGGACGTCACAGCTACCCTCGGAGCCCGGAGCGCAGCCTGACCACCCAGCTCTCTCTCGGGGGTCCCGGGTAGGTGAGCGACACCCCCCCACCCCCGCCCCCGGCTCCGTCTCTTCCGACCGAGAGGAAAACCCGCGGTGGAGTCCACGGCGGCGGGGCGGGGCAGTGCGCGCAGGCGCAGAGGCCGCCAGGTTGGGCCAAGGAGGCGCCCTGCTCCACACCTGATGCAATCAGCCTTCCGGAAACGGGTCCGGCAGCCGGGCTCACCCAGGAAACGCTTCCGCGCCCTCCTCCGGCTGCAGCGCCCCCGGGGCCGGGTTTCCAGACTACCCCGGCCAGACTTCGCCCCGGGAGCTGGAGGAGTCGGGAAGTCACTGCTCGCCTGGACGCGCCAATTGCCCTGACACTGACGTCGAAACGGCCACCGAGCGTTCCGCAGCTGCAGGAGGAAAGTCCCTTAACTATGAATTTACAGAGGGGACCGATCGGGGCTGGAGGGAAGTCTTTGACCCTTCCTTTGCTTCCTTCCTTCGTCCACCTCCCGACACATTGTCTTTCTCACTGAAAGGAACGTTTATTGTAATAGCAGTTTTAGGGCAGTATGGAGAGGACTCCCCATGCCCTCTGTCTTGCTAAATGTGTAACAGCATGTTAGCTTTGCTATATAAAGCTTTCCCACCGCGCACTCATTTTATAAATAATTGGTTTCTCCATACCTCATCATTTAAGTTTACAAAGAAAATCATTTCTCGTTTCATCACCTCATGCAATTTTTATATCTATTGTGAGTAGGTTTTTTCTTCATGCTGACTCACCCATTGTTTTCCAAGGAAATGAAATATCCAAGAATATTCCAAAAGCATGTTTTTTAAAATACGGAAGTAAATGCTGTGAACAATACATAAAAATGGTCTCTCTTAAGTCCCTTAAGGCCAAAGGTCCTCCTGGGGGGGGAGGGGCAGGGGAGGAGGCAGATCCAAGGAATTTTATTTGCAAAGATACTTCAGAGACCATTCTAGAATCAAATTGAGATCAACTCTTAGACTTTATAGATGACATTTACCTCTCTGTGGCCCAGAGAAATAGATGACTTTTCCTTATTTAGGCAAACCAAAAGCAGAACTGGCACTTGAAGCCAGATTTCTCAAAATTCCAATCTAATGGAAAAAAAAAAATGTTTGCACAAACACCGTAGGGAGTGTAATACTATATTACATTGCAGTTTTACAATCCAAAGATTACAAAATACAAAATTGGTGACAACAAAAGGATTCTATTACATGTTCCTTCCTGTGACGTCATTAGTCTTTAAATAGTCCTTAATCAACAAACATCCAACCACTTCTAAGTGGCATTGAATAGCCAAACACTAGGCATTAAATATTTCAATTAAACAAGTCTGAGTCAGACGCAGTGGTCCAAGTCTGTAGCAGCAGCTACTGGGGAGGCTGAGGCAAGAGGGTACATGAGGCTGGACGTTCAAAGTTACAGTATGATTTTGCCTGTGAATAGCCACTGCTTTCCAGCCTGAGCCACACAGCAAGACCCCATCTTAAAACAAAACATCAAGAAATCTTCCGTGCCAACATTTAGAACTTCTAGTATTTTTATTTGATTGTGTGGTGTATGTGCAACAGTTTAAGCTTAAACCAAGGGAATTTTAATGATCACAACAAAATATCATGGTCATGATTTTCTTCTGTAATGATTTTAAATAACAATATAGAAATCAAAGTGAAATCAAAAACAACTCAAAACTCATGCCTGCAATAAGATAAAATCTAATTCTTCAAAACTGCCTCCCTTCTTAAGGAACGTGTATTTCTTTTTGGAATGTTCTAACACAGATCTGGAGGAATACCTTCTACTGAAGCAAAAAATAGAGTAAATGTCAAAATGCAGAGGTACAAAGTACACACCATCACACAGTACTAGTTATAGAATAGCTAACTTTTACTGAGTATTTAGCATGTGCCAGATGCTGGCTAAGCATTTTCCATAGGCTGTTTAAGTTAATCCTCACAACTACCCTATGAATGCACTATTGTTATCCCTGTTTTATGAATACAGAAAGTGACGCTTGCAAATGTGAAGTAACTAACTCAAGGCACAAAATATTCAGTGGCAGAACTGGGATTTGAACCCAGGCAGTTTTCCTGGAGCTTGAGCTCTTAAATAATACTCTATACAGAAAAAATGTAAATACAGAGAAAATGACTATAACGATTCTCAGATAAGAAAGAAGGGGAGTATTGTACTTACTCTCCTAAAGATGAAATGTAGTAAAATAAGTTTGTGGGGCCGGGCGCGGTGGCTCAAGCCTGTAATGCCAGCACTTTGGGAGGCTGAGGCGGGTGGATCACGAGGTCAAGAGATCGAGACCATCCTGGTCAACATGGTGAAACCCCGTCTCTACTAAAAATACAAAAAATTAGCTGGGCATGGTGGCACGTGCCTGTAGTCCCAGCTGCTTGGGAGGCTGAGGCAGGAGAATTGCCTGAACCCGGGAGGCTGAGGTTGCGGTGGGCCGAGATCGCGCCATTGCACTCCAGCCTGGGTAACAAGAGTGAAACTCTGTCTCAAAAAAAATAAAAATAAAAAAAAAATAAGTTTGTGGTCCACAGTAGGAAAAAACCTCTTGCTAACTAATAAATTATGGTCCCCAAGTGTAAGACCAATATTACCCACAGGTATGAGGCAGGTGATCAAATACCTAGTGATTTATCAGGGGTACCAGTAAGGCCTTTTCTCTGATGACTGTTTCTCAGAGGTGGTGGTTTCTCAGTCCTAAACCACCCAATATGGCAGTCACTAGCCACATATGCTTATTTAATTTGAAATCACTTAAAATCAATTAGAATTAACTTGTCGGTTCCTCAATGATACTAGCCACCTTTCAAGTGCTCAGTAGCACATGGCCTAATAAGTACTATATTGGATAGTGTAAGTAAAAAGCATTTCCATCACTGCAGAAAATTGTATTGGACAGTGCTGCTCTGGTCCTTAATGTCATTAGGGCAAACTTTTAATCTCTCTTCAGACTGCACTATTTTAATGAGCACAACAAAATATCATGGTCATGATTTTCTTCTGAAATGATTTTAAATACTTTAACAATATAGAAATCAAAATGAAATAAAAAACAAATCAAAGACCTTGTTTCCATGGTCTACCTTCCCATTGAGCTTCAGTCCAAACTAAAATTATCAGAGTGTAGAGAGGTACAAAGAGGTAAAAAGCACAAAGTCCCCTACTATCATGGAAAGAATATGGGCATTGGAGTAAGACCTTATTTCATATCCCAGCTCTCACTAGTTGTGTGACCATGGGCAAGCTACTTTCCCTCGCTTTTCTTATCTGCAAAATGGGCATGTCAATTTTTTCATTATGGGTTTAAGATTAAATAACATATATAAAGTTTCTGGTAGTCCTCACATAGGATGATTTCCTTCCTTCCACTCCTATTTCAGTTAATGACATTCCCCAATTACTCAGGATTCTAAACTAGAAATCTCGGTCATCTTCAATTCTTCCTTCCTCCTCAACCACCCACATTAAATTAATCTACCACCCACATTAAATTAATCATCAAGCCCTTTTGCTCCCAATTCAGTGATGCCTCTCAAATGTGGGCCCGCCTCTCTGTCCTCCCTGTCTTTTCCTGCATAATATTTCAGAATCCTGCTAAACAACCTTGGTGACACCCATCACTCCCAATCCAAGTCCTTTCTCCACACTGCTGCCAGAGTCAATCTTTCTTTAAAAAGATACTGATGATGTCATTCTCCTCCTTTAAAACCGCTGATGACATCTAGTTTCTTAAAGATAAAATCTTAACGACTAAACTGAAGGACTCACATAACCAACCCTCACTTCATCACTGCTGCTTGTTTGGTTGGTATTAAAAAGAAAAAGAAAATTAAAAATATAACAACGCTTATTCCATTTCAAAAATATATTTGGATTCCCCTACTACCAACCTCTTTGTTCAGCCACCCCGTCCCCAGCTCATACGTCTCCCTCTACCCAACCCCCACTACACCCACACCCCAGCAACTTATGCCCATGAGGCATTCCAGGAAACACGCAGTGGCCTTTTACAACTCTGCCCTTGCACACAAACCTCAGCCTGGACTAACACTTGTATATGTTTTTTATCTGGTAGAATTTTACTGACTCTCTAAGGTCCAGTTCAGGTACCACCTCTTGTATAAAAGCTCCTTCAACTCCTTCAGGGAACGGTAGCTACCAGGTCATCTGTGATGCCATAGATTTGAGCGTAGATGCTGTATTCGGGCTACCTAGGTTCAAATGTTGGCTGCACCACTCTCCCACTGCTAGTTTTGGGCAAACGACTTAACCTCTTGGGGAGGTTTCCTCATCTGAAAACAATGATAATCGTAGTATGACTATCTTACCATTGTTACCAAGTATATGAGATAATGCATATGAAGTTCATAATAATATACTGGCCCACGGGCAAGCACACAATACAGATTATCTTAAAAGTGTTTGACTATGGTTTTATTTTATTTTATTTTATTTTATTTTATTTTATTTTATTTTATTGAGATGGAGTTTCACTCTTGTTGCCCAGGCTAGAGTACAATAGCACTACCTGGGCTCACAGCAACCTCTCCCTCCCGGGTTCAAGCGATTCTCTTGCCTCAGCCTCTCGAGTAGCTGGGATTACAGGCATGTGCCACCACGCCCGGCTAATTTTGTATTTTTAGTAGAGGCGGGGTTTCTCCATGTTGGTCAGGCTGGTCTCAAATTCCGACCTCAGATAATCAGCCTGCCTCGGCCTCCCAAAGTGCTAGGATTACAGGCGTGAGCCACCCCACACCTGTCCCCCACTATAATTAATTATCCATCTTATCCTTTTGTCTCAATATGAATTATTTTTTACATTCTAAATAATATATATATATAGTTTTTATTGCACTTTAGGTTCTGGGGTACATGTGCAGAACATGCAGGACTGTTGCATAAGTACATACGTGGCAATGTGGTTTGCTGCCTCATCCCCAGTCACCTTATCTGACATTTCTCCCCGTTATCCCTCCCCAACCTCCCTACCCCCCGCTGTCCCTCCCCTGTTCCCCCTCAACAGACTCCAGTGTGTGGTGCTCCCCTCCCTGTGTCCATGTGTTCTCATTGTTCAACACATGCCTACGAGTGAGAACATGCAGTGTTTGGTTTTCTGTTCCTGTGTCAGTTTGCTGAGAATGACGCTTCCAGATTTATCCACGTCCCTACAATGGACACAAACTCATCATTTTTTTATGGCTGCATAGTATTCTATGGTGTATATGTGCCATATTTTCCTTATCCAGTCTATCATCGATGGGCATTTGGATTGGTTCCAGGCCTTTGCAATTGTAAACAGTGCCACAATGAACCTACATGTGCATGCATCTTTATAATAGAACAATTTATAATCCTTTGGATGTATACACTGTAATGGGATTGCTGGGTCAAATGGAATTTCTATTTCTAGGTCCTTGAGGAATTGCCACACTGTCTTCCGCAATGGTTGAACTAATTTACACTCCCACCAACAGTGTAAAAGTGTTCCTATTTCTCCACTTCCTCTCCGGCATCTGTTGTCTCCAGATTTTTTAATGATCGCCATTTTAACTGACGTGAGATGGTATCTCAATGTGGTTTTGATTTGCATTTCTCTAATGACCAGTGATGATGAGCATTTTTTCTTATGTTTGTTGGCCTCATAGATGTCTTCTTTTGAAAAGTGTCTGTTTATGTCCTTTGCCCACTTTTGAATGGGTTTGTTTTTTTCTTGTAAATCTGTTTTAGTTCTTTGTAGATTCTGGATATTAGCCCTTTGTCAGATGGGTAGATTGCAAAAATTTTTTCTCATTCTGTTGGTTGCTGTTTCACTCTAATGATTGTTTCTTTTGCTGTATAGAAGCTCTGGAGTTTAATTAGATCCCATTTGTCTATTTTGGCTTTTGTTGCCAATGCTTTTGGTGTTTTAGTCATGAAATCCTGGCCTATGCCTATGTCCTGAATGGTTTTACCTAAGTTTTCTTCTAGGGTTTTTATGGTTTTAGGACTTACGTTTAAGTCTTTAATCCATGTGGAGTTAATTCTAGTGTAAAGTGTCAGGAAGGGGTCCTGTTTCTGCTTTCTGCACATGGCTAGCCAGTTTTCCCAACACCATTTATTAAACAGGGACTCCTTTCCCCACTGCTTGTTTTTGTCAGATTTGTCAAAGATCAGATGGTTGTAGATGTGTCACGTTGCCTCCGAGGCCTCTGTTCTGTTCCATTGGTCTATATCTCTGTTTTGGTACCAGTACCATGCTGTTTTGATTACTGTAGCCTTGTAGTGTAGTTTGAAGTCTAAGGTAGAGTGATGCCTCCAGCTTTGTTCTTTTTGCTTAGAATTATCTTGGCTATGTGGGCTGTTTTTGATTCCACATTAAGTTTAAGGTAGTTTTTTCCAGTTCTGTGAAGAGGGCCATAGGTAGCTTGATGGGGATAGCATTGAATCTATAAATTACTTTGGGCAGTATGGCCATTTTCATGATATTGATTCTTCCTAACCATCAGCATGGAATGTTTTTCTATCTGTTTGTGTCTTCTCTTATTTCGTTGAGCAGTGGTTCATGGTTCTCCTCGAAGAGGTCCTTTACATCCTTTATTAGTTGTATTCCTAGGTATTTTATTCTCTTTGTAGCAATTGTGAATGGAAGTTCGTTCTTGATTTGGCTCTCTTTAAGTCTCTTGTTGGAGTATAGGAATGCATGTGATTTCTGCACATTGATTTTGTATCCTGAGACTTTGCTGAAGTTGCTTATCAGTTTCAGGAGATTTTTGGGTTGAGACGATTAGGTCTTCTAGATATACAATCATGTCATCTGCAAATAGAGACAATTTGACTTCCTCCTTTCCTAATTGAATACACTTTATTTCTTTTCCTTGCCTGATTGTCCTGGCTAGAACTTCCAACACTATATTGAATAGGAGTGGTGAGAGAGGGCATCCTTGTCTAGTGCCAGATTTCAAAGGGAATGCTTCCAGTTTTTGCCCATTATGATATTGGCTGTGGGTTTGTCGTAAATAGTTTTTATTATTTTGACATACGTTCTGTCAATATCTAGTTTATTGAGAGTTTTTAGCATAAAGGGCTGTTGAATTTTGTTGAAGGCCTTCTCTGCATCTATTGAGATGATCATGTGTTTTTTGTTTTTGGTTCTGTTTATATGGTGGATTACATTATAGACTTGAGTATGTTGAGTATGATGCAAGTATCCCAGCCTTGCAACCTGGGATGAAGCCTACTTGATCATGGTGGATAAGCTTTTTGATGTGCTGTTGCAATCAGTGTGCCAGTATTTTATTGAAGATTTTTGCATCTATGTTCATCATGGATATTGACCTGAAGTTTTCTTTTTTTGTTGCGTCTCTGCCGGGTTTTGGTATCAGGTTGATGTTGGTCTCATAAAATGATCTGGGAAGGACTCTCTCTTTTTGGATTGTTTGGAATAGTTTCAGAAGGAGTACTACCAGCTCCTCTTTGTTTCTGTGGTAGAATTTGACTGTGAACCCGTCTGGACCTGGGCTTTTTTTGGTTGGTAGGCTATTAATTGCTGCCTGAACTTCGGCTCTTGTTATTGGTCTCTTCAGGGTTTTGACTTCTTCCTGATTTAGTCTTGGTAGAGTACAAGTGTCCAGGAATTTATCCATTTCTTCCAGGTTTACTGGTTTATGTGCATAGAGTTGTTTGTAGTAATCTCTGATGGTAGTTTGTATTTCTGTGGAATCGGTGGTGATATCTCCTTTATCATTTTTTATTGCATATATTTGATTCTTCTTTCTTTTCTTTTTTATTAATCTGGCTAGCAGTCTGCTATTTTGTTGATCTTTTCAAAGAACCAGCTCCTGGATTTATTGATTTTTGAAGGTTTTTTTGTGTCTCTAACTCCTTCAGTTCTACTCTGATCTTAGTTATTTCTTGTCTTCTGCTAGGTTTTGAGTTTTTTTGATCTTGCTCCTCTAGCTCTTTCAATTTTGATGATAGAGTGTTGATTTTAGATCTTTCCTTGCTTCTAATGTGGGCATTTATTGCTATAAATTTCCCTCTAGACACTACTTTAAATGTATCCCAGAGATTCTGGTACATTGTGTCTTTATTCTCGTTGGTTTTGAAGAACACCTTTAGTTCTGCCTTCATTTCAATGTTTATCCAGTCAACATTCAAGAGCCAGTTGTTCAGTTTCCAGGAAGTTGTGTGGTCCTGAGTTAATTTCTTAATCCTGAGTTCTAATTTGATTGCACTGTGGTGTGAGAGACTGTTATGATTTCCGTTCTTTTGCATTTGCTGAGGAGTGATTTACTTCCAATTATGTGGTCAATTTTAGAGTAGGTGTGATGTGGTGCTACGAAGAACGTATATTCTATGGATTTGGGGTGGAGAGTTCTGTAGATGTCTATTAGGTTTGCTTGGTCCATGTCTGAGTTCAAGTCCAGGATATCTTTTTAAATTTTCTGTCTCATTGATCTGTCTAATATTGACAGTGGAGTGTTAAAATCTCCCACTATTATTGTGCGGGAGTCTAAGTCTCTTTGTAGATTGTTAAGAACTTGCTTTATGTTTCTGGGTGCTCCTATATTGGGTGCATATATATTTAGGATCATTAGCTCTTCTTGTTGCATTGATCCTTTTACCATTATGTAATGCCCTGCTTTGTCTCTTTTGAACTTTGTTGGTTTAAAGCCTATTTTATCAGAGACTAGGATTACAACTCCTGCTTTTTTTTTTTCCTCTCCATTTGCTTGATAAATCTTTCTCCGTCCCTTTATTTTGAGCCTATGTGTGTACTTGCAAGTGAGATGGGTTTCCTGGATACAGCACACTGATGGGTTTTGACTTTTTATCCAATTTGCCAGTCTGTGTCTTTTGATTAGGGCATTTAGCCCATTTACATTTAAGGTTAATATTGTTATGTGTGAATTTGATCCTGCCATTTTGATGCTAGCTGGTTGTTTTGCTTATTAGTTGATGCAATTTCTTCATTGTGTCAATGCTTTTTACCATTTGGTACATTTTTGGAGTGGCTGGTACTGGTTGTTCCATTCCATGTTTAGTGCTTCTTTCAAGAGCTCTTGTAAGGCAGGCCTGGTGGTGATGAAATCTCTCAGCAACTGCTAGTTCATAAAGGATTTTATTTCTCCTTCACTTTGAAGCTTGATTTGGCTGGATATTAAATTCTGGGTTGAAAGTTCATTTCTTTAAGGATGTTATATATTAGCCCCCACTCTCTTCTGGCTTGTAGGGTTTCTGCTGAGAGATCCACTGTGAGTCTGATGGGTTTTCCTTTGTGGATAACCTGACCTTTCTCTCTGGCTTTCCTTAGCATTTTTTCCTTCATTTCAACCCTGGTGAATCTGACAATTATGTGCCTTGGGGTTGCTCTTCTTGAGGAATATCTTTATGGTGTTCTCTGTATTTCCTGGACTTGAATATTGGCCTGCCTTGCTAGGTTGGGGAAGTTCTCCTGGATAATGTCCCAAAGAGTGTTTTCCAGCTTGGATTCATTCTCTCCATCATATTCAGGTACACCTATCAAACATAGATTAGGTCTTTTCATATAATCCCATATTTCTTGGAGGTTTTGTTCATTTCTTTTCACTCTTTTTTCTCTAATCTTGCCTTCTCGTTTTATTTCATTGAGTTGATCTTCAATATCTGATATCCTTTCTTCTGCTTCATCAATTTGGCTCTTGAAATTTGTGTATGCTTTGTGACGTTCTCGTGTTGTTTTTCAGCTCCATCAAGTCATTTATATTCTTCTCTAAGCTGTTTGTTCTCGTTAGCATTTCATCAAACCTTTTTTCAAGGTTCTTAGTTTCTTTGCATTGGGTTAAAACATGTTTTTTTAGCTCAGAGAAGTTTGTTATTACCCACCTTCTGAAGCCTGTTTATGTCAATTCATCAGACTCATTCTCCATTCAGCTTTGTTCTCTTGTTGGTGAGGAGTTGTTATCCATTGGAGGAGGAGGGTCATTCTGGTTTCAAGTGTTTTTATCCTTTTTGCCCTTTCTTCCCATCTTTGTGGATTTATCTACCTGTGGTCTTTGTAGTTAGTGACTTTTGGATGGGGTCTCTGAGTGGATGTCCTTTTTGTTGATGATGAAGTTATTTATGTTTTTTAGTTTTCCTTCTAGCAGTCAGGCCCCTCTGCTATAGGACTGCTGGAGGTCCACTCCAGACCCTGCTTGCCTGAAGCTCACCTGCAGCAGCTGTAGAAGAGTCAGAGTTGCTGCCAGTTTCTTCTTCTGTTATCTTCATCCCAGAAGGATACCCACCAGATGTCAGCCTGAGCTCTCCTTTATGAGGCGTCTCTTTGGATACACAGGGGTTGGGGAGCTGCTTGAGGAGATAGTCTGTCCCTTATAGGAGCTCAAGTGCTGAGCTGTGAGCTCCGTTGTTCCGTTCAGAGCTGCTGGGCAGATAAGTTTAAGTCTGCGGCAGCAGAACTCATAACTGCCTTTTTTCCCAGGTGCTCTGTCCTGTGAAGGTGGGGCTTTATTTATAAGTTCCTGACGTGCTGCTGCCTTTTTTCAGAGCTGCCCTGCCCAGCAAGGAGGTGGCCAAGAGGCATTGCTGAGCTGCCATGGGCCCTGCTCAGCTGCTGTGGGCTCTGCCCAGCTGCTCTGTGAACTTCCTTGTGGTTTTGTTTATAGAGGTATAGTTAGGACTGCCTAGGTAATGGTGGTCTGCCTCAGTAATGGTGGACTGCCTCTGTAATGGTGGACTGCCTCAGTATTAGTGGATTGCCTCGGTAATGACAGACTGCCTTGGTAATGGTGGACTGCCTTAGTAATGGCAGATGCCCCTCCCCTCACAGAGCTGGGCTGCCCTGGGTCCAGCTGCACTTGCTGTGAAACTCTCAATCCAGAGCGTTTCAGATTGCTAGTCTTTGTGGGGGTGGGATCCACTGAGCCAGATCACCTGGTTCTCTGTTTCAGCCCCCTTTTTTCAGTTGAATGGATGGTTCTGTCTCCCAGGCATTCCAGGCACCAGTTGAAACGGTGACCCAGATTTGTGTGAGTTTTTGTGTGGAGACCCACTGCGCCAGCTGAAACATCTGTGCTGGAAACTCATAGCACTTTTCAGCCTGGGAATCTCCTGGTCTGTGGGCAGTAATAACTCATTTGGAAATGCAGTGTTCACTCACCCTCTGCATTGTTCTTGCTGGGAACTGCACTCCAGAGCTGTTCCTATTTGGCCATCTTGGATCCGCCTGCTCCATTTTAAATAATTTTTTAATTTAAATTTTTTATATTTTATATTTAAATTTGATTTTCATATTAAATACAAGTATTTTATGACAGAAGTACTTCATATTGATCAAAGTTTGGGAAATTCAGATAACAGGCCAAAAATATTAAATTCTCTATTGTTTGAGACATCTCTTGCTTACAAGCAAAAGGAACTTATTCTGGTTAACTTATCCAGAAAAAAAAAGAATTTATGGGACTGTTGTTGGACAGCTCACCGCATCAACACAAAGATGGAGAATCAGGTTAAGAAAGGGTCAGGATCTATGGAGGACTGGCAGCAAATAACAGACAAGACTATGGCACAGTGGGTCACCAAGGGCATAACCCCATCGGCCACTTGCTGTGGCCACCATTCCTGAACATTTGTGACTTAACAAAAGTAGGAAGAGCATCTTATCCCCTCTCCCACTCACCCACCCCATAGTCTTTGCCTATATTGGATCACTCACAGGCAAACAAATCATGCACTTACAAGCTTTGGTGCCTTTGCTTATGCCATTACCTTTGCCTGGGATAGTCTTGCTCTGTCACCCAGGCTGGAGTGCAGTGACAGGTTCATGACTCACTATAGCCTCAACCTTCTGGGCTCAGCCTCCCTGGTAGCTGGGACTACAAGTGCGCGCCACCACTTTTTTATTTTTCGTTGAGATGAGGTCTCACTATTTTGCCTAGGCTACTCTTGAACTCCTGAGCTCAAGCAATCCTCCTACCTCAGGTTCCCAAAGTCCTGGGATTAGAAGCATGAGCCACCATACCTGGCCTGCTCACTTCTTGATTCCAGAGCTTGCCATATGCTTTTGCAGCACTTAGCACGTAGTACAGTTAGATGTTTTATCATTCTTTGTTGCTATGCTGTAAATTCCTATTTTCAGCCATATCACATAGAAGACACTTGATAAATATCTGTTTAATGAATGAAAGGAAGAAAAAAATAAATTAGATTTTAAGGCACTGTACTAAGCACTTTACAAACATTAACTTGCTGGGCACAGTGGCGCACGCCTATAATGCCATCATTTTGGGAGGCCGAGGCCAGTGGATCACTTGAGCTCACAGAGTTTGAGACTAGCCTGGGCAACATGGCAAAACCCCTTCTCTACTAAAAATACAAAAACTAACCAGGCATGGTGGTGCACACCTGTAATCCCAGCTACTCGGGAGGCTGAGGCAAGAGAATTGATTGAATTCAGGAGCCAGAGGCTGTAGTGAGCCAAGATCATGCCACTTTATGGACGACTGAGTTAGACTGTGTCTCAAAAAACAAACAAACAAACAAAACCACCCAAACAGTGCAATTTAGTCTCAATTTATAATTCAGTTTTTCCTCAGATAGGCTGGATTACTATTTTATAATAAAGGAAACTGAGACCAGAGGAGTGAAGTTACTTTCTAAAGGTCAAACAGCTATTAAGGGACAGAGGCAGAATTTGAAGAAGGCAGTCTCTCTCTAGAGCATAGGCTTTTACCTAAAGAGATGTTATGACTCTATGAAAGGAAGTACAGGGTCCTTTTTCTAGGAAACTCTACAACATCTTTGTTTGTTTGTTATTTAAAGACCTGACAGTCTCCTGGTAAGCATAGAAAGCTAATTAAATGTTTCTGTACATTTTCAATATTGAAAAACATACTTAGTAAATTTCATAAACACTTATTCCATCATTCTTGAACAATGGTAATAGAAGGCTCTATACACAAATTCATAGAAACTCAATTAAATGAGCACAAAAGCACACAATAAAATTCATCACACTCTTTGTCCCTGCCCTTCGCCCAGGTTACCAGGAGTTGTTAGTTAGACACTGGCATTTTATCAAACTGGTTCTGGCTACAAAGAATTTATGTTGTTCTGCTCAGGGCACTCTCCTTCTCTGGTTATATGATATCTCTCACCCCTTCTAGAATCTCTCTTTTGCTTATCATCAGACAGCAGAAACTTGACTCCAGCGTACCAGTGTGCATGGTGCCTCACAATTAATTGTCTGCACGATAAGGGCAAGAATTTAAATCTTGTGAACAGAGGAAAACCATCACCTTCATGTTCAAAGGGTACATAAATTACACCATCCAACCTGAAAAAATGCTCCATTTAAAATTCATATAAACATAATTAAATAGAAATGGGGAATCTGAAATGAAGAACACTGAGAGAGAAGACATTTAAAAAGAACTAGAAATCATTTACAAGAGAAAAATGCTCTGCTCATCCCAGAGATGGATAAGATATATATCGCTAATTTGCAAAGGCATTGATAGTCTCCTTGATAAAGCAAGGGATTTATAGTCTCCTTTTTCTATTTATTCCTGCCAAGTATCTTCACTTTTAATTGCCTCATTACAAGGTCTGCAAAATAAGAAAAGAAAGGAAGCTGGAGGAAAAAGATCTAAAGATTTCTTTTAAGAGATTATTATAACAAGCAAACATTTGTCATTAGGTTAAATGAAAGAAGGCTAGTTCCTTGCAAATATCTGAGATCATAAAAACTGAACTGGGGGGGGGAAGGAAGTTTGTATAGGAAGAGGTATGATCAAAAGTAATAGTATAGAAGTAATAGCTAACATGGAGGTTAGATGCTAGAAAAAAAAAGATTATTGATAAGGTCAATTAGATAAAAGGAAAAACTTCAAAAGGAAAAACAAGTGCTCCATCCCATGAGACTTTTAGAATTAACCTGGACAAAGAACTAGAATATATTTTGTAGAAAGCAATCCTTTCTGACAAGCTGGTAGATTAGTTCTAATTGATTTTTCCACCTCTAATTTCTTTGACTCTCTGAAATACTACTCGTAGAAGACAAATGAGTTTTCCTTGAGGTTGAATTTTCTGTCTTTATTTTAATCAAATGAGATATGATTTCTCATGAAAATAGTTTCCAAGCCAATGGCTTTGCAAGTAATAATTCTAACTCTTATTTAGATGATAAAAGTTTAAAAATCAAAGTTAGAGCATTAGTAAACATGACAAATCATATATATTTTCTTTAATGATGCGCTGGCAAAATTCTTGGAAAAAAGTTTCCAAGAAGTGAAGGAATAGGGTACAGGAAAAGTGGAGCAGGCTAATATTCCACCAGTTTTTGCCTTTTTGTTCTAGCTTCATATCCTCTCTAAAAAGTTATCACTAAGAGAAAAATATTTAGTTCTGTTGAAATTGTGTTAAAGTTTGTATCAGATAACAGTTTTGAGAACATGAGGTACAATATCATATGCACGTTATTTATGTTATTTATTGTCAAAAAAAGAGCAAAGTTAAAAATGTACTAGAAAAACTTTTGCCTGGAGTCTTTGAATTGTCTTATAGAACACTTAGGGAAAGGGGAAAAGAAGAGGAAATACTAGGTGAGGCAGGGGATAGATTTCTTTCTCCTCATTCATATATATATATATATATATAATAAAATATTAAAATATGTATATATTTCAAAACAGTTCCTACAAATTTTAATGTGTTATCTTTTTCCATGACTCAAAATATGACTAGAAAAAATATTCTAAAATTTAAAAACTTTTTTTGCTTCAGATCATAAAAATGTTTTTTCCTATTAAAGTCTGACAGGTTTCAACCTCTGTGTATTTTACTTTGTTTTGTTCTTACATTTATACTTCAATTTGTTTTCTAATACACTGTGAAACAGGGATATAACTTTGCGAGCAGAAAGCCACCTGTTCTAATGCAACGTATCAAACAAGCTTTCCATTGCCCACTTATTTATAATGTCACCTTTGTTATATAACCAGTTCTCACTGATCTGTTCCTATGCTCTCTATTCCCTTTCATGGATTACTTTTTCTATTAGGCGGCTAATACTGCAATTTTTATTTCTGTATCTTTGTAATATATCTTGATATCTGGTAGTGTGGGTCTCCCTTCTCTGTTCTGCTTTATCAAGACTGGCTTAGCTCTTCTTTCATAATATCCCTTCCACATAAGATTTATAATTACTATCTCAATTTTGATGAAAAATCTTTAGAATTTTATTGGTATAATTATTATTATTTGAGACAGAGTCTCACTCTGTCGCACAGACTGGAGTGCAGTGGCACAATCTTGGCTCACTGCAACCTCCACCTCCAGGTTCAAGGGATTCTCGTGTCTCAGCCTTCTAAGTAACTGGAATTACAGGTGCATGCCACCATGCCTGGCTAATTTTTGCATTTTTAGTAGAGAGAGGGTTTCACCATGTGGGCTAGGCTAGTTGCAAACTCCTGACCTCAGTGGTCTGTCTGCTTCAGCCTCCCAAAGTGCTAGGATTACAGGTGTGGCCAGTATTAAACTTAATATAGATTAATTTGAGGAGAACTGACATTTTTACTCTATTGATTTATCCCTATAGATAGATAGATGTATTATATTTCTATTTATTCACCTTCTTTAGTTTCACAAATATTCTCTGCATCTACTAAACTATAAGCTCGTGAAAATCTATGTAACTTTTCAAGTTTGAGAATGGTATTGGTAAAATGGCTTAACCTTTTATGTTGTCCTAAGTCTGCTGCTACTTCTTCAGCTGACATGAATCTCCTGAACAAAAGATTTTTGCTCTCACTTTATTTTTATTGAATTTGACTACAGAAAAATCCAGTGAGTTGATAGAGTCAGTCAAGTAGAATGCTTTTTATCAAAGTGGCTGGTGTTATATAAATCCAATGTGGTTTGGAATATTAGTCTCAATCCAAAAGAGGTTAAGCTCACAGTGCCTCATAAATCTGTCCAGGTTTGCAAGTGAAGTTATAAAGAAAAAATAAACAAATAATTATTTTAACCAGTGTATTCAGACTACTTCACTTTAATAATTTCATTAAAAAGAGAAAAAAACTACCAAAAATATAATACAAAGTGAAATTGAGTACTAAAAAGTATTTAAATAATCCAAAAGAATATAGGAAAGAAAGAAGAGAAGAACAAAAACATCGGAAACAAATAGAAAATAACAAATTAGGGGCTGGGCATGGTGACTCATACCTGTAATCCCAGCACTGTGGGAGGCAAAAGTGGAACGATCACAAGGTCAGGAGTTCAAGACCATCCTGGCCAACATGGTGAAACCCTGTCTCTACTAAAAATAAAAAAAAGTAGCCTGGCATAGTGGCACACACCTGTAGTCCCAGATACTCAGGAGGCTGAAGCAGGAGAATCGCTTGAACCCGGATGGCAATATGGCTGGTATTCTTATAAGAAGACAACTATGTGAAGACACAGGGAAAATGTCCCCGTGAAGATGGAGGCAAAGATTAGAGTGATGCATCTGTAAGGCAAGGGACAACAAAGATTGCTGTTTGTCAAAAGGAGCTAAGAGAGAGGCACAGAATAGGCATGACCTCAGAGCCCTCAGTAGGAACCAACCTGCTGACATTTTTATTTTAAACTTCTAGCATCCAGAACTGTGAGGGAATAGACTTTTGTTTGTTTTGTGTTTTTTGTTACGGCAGCCCTAGGAAACTAATACACCTATTCATTCCAAATAAATACCTTTATAAATAGTTAAAAATTATACAGAATTTTTTTTTTTTTTTGAGACAGAGTTTCACTCTTATTGCCCAGGCTGGAGTACAATGGCGTGATCCTGGCTCACTGCAACCTCTGCCTCCTGGGTTCAAGTGATTCTTCTGTCTCAGCTTCCCGAATGGCTGGGATTACAGGCATGCACCACAATGCCCAGCTAATTTCTGGATTTTTAGTAGAGATGTGGTTTTACCATGTTGGCCACGATGGTCTCAAACTCCTGAGCTCAGGTGATCCACCACCTCCACCTCCCAAAGTGCTCGGATTACAGACATGAGCCAGCTCGCCTGGCTGGGAAAATTTTTATCAACCTAAACTACTACCTCTAAACTGTAGAGATGGTCAGAGGTGTCAAAGACAAAATAAACTGAAGTCTAAAAATTCTTGCAAAATGTTATTTTCC